TCTCTCTCTCTCTCTCTCTCTCTCTCTCTCTCTCTCTCTCTCTCTCTCTCTCTCTCTCTCCGCTTAGACCGGTGGAAGGGGAATTCATGTCTGAACCTAGACGAAAATAGTGAGTAAATTAGTATATATGTGAGCACACCATATCAAATTTTGACATAGACATCTGAGGAGACTAAGATCTGCAGCACTGGCTGCTATGAGTAGGGGAAAGGTCGACACGATACACTTGAAACAACAAGTGAGATCCCGTAGGGTGGTATGGGCTGCTCAGCCTGACAAGTAGTAAAATCCGAGGGGGCACGGCATACGCCTTCTGTTTTGGCACACGGACTCTGGTTCACCCTCCTGAGGAGTTCTGCGCGGTGGGCAACCGGTCGAGGGATTTCACCGGTGCTTGGTTTTGGTGGTTTGGGTTACTTGCACAGTACTAATTTGAAGACTTTGGATTCTGAAGTTTTCAGCTATGGTGCTTTTCTTGAATATCGTTTTTTCAGGCTGAGATTTTGAATCCTGTGGTTTTCGTACTTCAGCTCCGTCTGGTACTGCTACCTGGATCGTTTTGCCGCGGTCTGCTCTCTCTCTCTCTCTCTCTCTCTCTCTCTCTCTCTCTCTCTCTCTCTCTCTCTCTCTCTCTCTCTCTCTCTCTCTCTCTCTCCCCCTTTTGATCTTCCTCATGCATGCACTCTCTCTCCCTCTCTCTCCCTCTCTCTCCCTCTCTCTCCCTCTCTCTCTACTTGAGACCTGTCCCTGAATACATCCGCTGCTACTCAGCTCTATCCCTACTACTAACTTATGCGGCTGCGGCTGCGGCTATGGCCGCCTTCCTTCTCAGTGCAGCACTGCCCAGCAGGGCTCTCACGTGCATGCTACTATATAATAGCACACAAGCGCTTCCGCAGCACTTCCACACTTCTCACGAATGAGCAATCTGTCCAAAATGTGGCTGGCCGGTCCTTATATTGACTTGGACTGCGCTTCAACTCGTCCCAGCCTCTGCTTCTTTTGGCTTGACTTGGTACTGCCAGTGGTACCACATTCCCACGGGCCTTGCTTGCTTCAGAATGTCAAGCAAGGCCTGGTACTTTTCCCAAATGAGTTTTCATTGGTGTGCTGCTGCTTGGGCCTGTGAGTCCCGACTTTTCACCTGTGGAACATGCCTTTTGACTGTGGGATGTGACTTTTGACTGTGGGATGCGACTCCTGCCTCTGGGACACGACTTTTGCCTGGGGAAGTGTGTTTTGCCTGTGGGATATGACGACCTTTCAATATGACTCTTCAATATGAGACGTGACTTTTGCTTATAGAATGCAATTTTTGCCTGGGGGATGTGACTGTTTACAGGGTGCCTGTTGGACTTGAATCCTAAGGTACCCGACTGTGACTTTTCTGAAAATAACCGGCTTGGCCTCCCTTGGCCTGAGACCTTGACCCTGAAATTCGAATTTGGGGTCTGCATCGTGGAATGCCTTTCCCAGATAATTCAGAAGTATTTTATTCTGGTCATCTCAACTGTGAAATCAGAATGCACTGCAACTTACTTGCAACATGCATACATGGGCGAACTGATGGCAAACAAACTTCTTCAACTCAGAATCAACAATGAACTTGCACTGGCGCTTTTTGCCCACACAGAAAACTTGGAGATATGTCTTCCACTCAAACTCGGTTCAAATAAACTGTACAACTTGCGGCTATGGCCGCCGAACACTGTCTCCACCACCAGCCTTGCTCTCCCTCATGCACGCACATACGAGGATCCACCCTGAATGTCCATGTTACACACATACACCCACACTGTACACTCTGTCTATGTCCGCAGCTTGGCAGCTATGGCCGCCGTCGTCTTCCTCACTTCCCAGTTCAGCTTCAGGCACCTGCAGACCTCCACGCCCAAGTCACCAAGGCAGCGCTTGGCTCACAGGCGAATGAATGAATGGCTGATCGGGGCCTCTCTATTTCTACTCCTCCGTAGGTGGCCTGGCCCTGCCTCAGAACATGTGGGCCTGGCCCCCAAACCTCGTGGGCCTGGGCCCGGTAGCCTCCAGAATGCGTCGGCATGCTGGGCCAAACATGTGGATCCTGAGGGAAACCGCGTGGGCCTGAGCCTGGTAGCCTCCAGAATGCGTCGGCATGCTGGGCCAAACATGTGGATCCTGAGGGAATCCACGTAGGACACCCTCCACTTGCCTGCTGCTTGCTGACTGGACAGGGGCTGGCAGACAGACCTACGGCATTCTACAACCTACCGACTTGACCTTTCGCTACAGCTAAGGTTACGGCCTAGGACTGACCTAGGGACCCTTAGACTTCCGAAGAAACAGGTAGAGAGTTCCAGAAGGAACTTAACTAGGCCTAACCTGCTAATACGGAGACCTGTGGATAGAGTCCGGCTAACTAACCTACCGCCTAATCTACGACTCAGGACAGGTCACTTGTTCAAATCTCACTCAGAACACGGGGTCAATGTACAGGGTTCAGGCCAGGGCTGCACCCGCCACCGGCCGGTTGGACCGGACCGGACCCAACCGGGCCAGTTGGGCCCAAAACCGGGTCAATTTTTTTTATTTTTTTATTTTTTTGATGATGGGGTTGGACTGCGCTTGTCAAGATCTCCCTGAATCCGCAGAGAAAATAGTGATCTGCTAATTTTTTTAATCCGCAGAGAAAATAGTGATCTGCTAATTTTTTTAA